GATGAAACTAGAGTGCAGCCATGTATGGTGATCGGATTCCTCTTTAGTGGATGTTGAGTGATGAACAAACAGACAAAGTGATAATACTATCACATAATTGGCAATGGCGGTTGTGCCGGTGAGTGTTTTGTTGAGGTTTGATAGATAACGATTTTTTCTTGATAACTTCTGTTTACTTTTATACATATTTTTTCTTAAAATTTTATCTTTCATATAACTCTATAACAATCTTAAAAAAACTTCAACTCATTGCGCTTTTGAAATATTTTTTTATGTACTGGATAAATGAGAAATATCTTAGTGTAAACTATAATATAATGAATAATTACTAATACTCTATATATAAACTATTAGAATCAATCAAGTTTAGTTATTCAGTTCATACTTAAATTATAATTAAATTTATACAATATTCAATAAAATAATATTCCTTAATAGAAAATTATAATTTTCTAATTTTCAGTTTTCACATAGTTTCACATAACCATAAAAGAAAACTTTCAAACTTTTTATAAACTCCTTTTATAATCTTTATAAGTACAAAATGATAACATTTTTGCTTCAATTCATTACCTAATTAGAGATAGAGGTAGACAGAGGAGCTTTTGTAAGTACATATTTTCAGAACATTTTCATAACATTTATATACTAAACACAACCACTTTAGGAATGGGGAGAGAAAAAAATGTTGAAGATATAACGTCAGTACCTATTGCTTTACTTTTTAAATGGAACACTAAAGCTTTTTTCCTAATCTCCGTTAATGCAATGCATTAAACATATAGGTTTTACGATAATAGTCTTAACATTAGACAATGGAACTTTTAAATCGTAACACTCTTAAAATATATTCTTACAAGCCACTTATACTTACATCGTGATAAAATGTTAACGAAAGTTTTAGAAATAAAAAGTAAATAAAAAACACCTGAGAGGTTGACCGCCAGGAAATTATTTACTCAAATTATGACGAAAGTTAATTGCTACGGATATTGTGGGAAATTATTTATGTCTATAACAATCAACAATACAAAAGAGTAGACGAGAACTGTAGATATACCTAGTGTTTTTCTTATGTCACTATATTAAATCAAGTAATATGTATCAATTTAAAATATTTATACAACTTTGTCTTATAAGTAAGAAATGTTTTATTAACTTAATAGAAACTATGTCAAAGATAAAATTCTTCTTAGACTTGCAGAGCTTTTTACAGTCCATAACAGATAAGCAACGTAAACGCTTGAGTAAACACGCAAAGCTTGCTTAGGGGAAACTAATGGATCATCTCACTTTTATGTTATTACGAAAGCCTTTGTCGTGGAGATGATTTGACGAATTTCGTAATGTTCGTGATCGTATTTTGACACAAGTACAAGAGAAATTTAAGAGCAGGTTTATTTGTATAGAATTATTTCTACTACTTATTGACTGTGGTGTCGCCAGTGTGTGTGTTTCTGTACATGTTCCAATGTCCATGCTCAATAAATAAAATTTGCGTTTCATATAACGTGGAGCTATATATATTCGAATCCACTTAGTGAAGTAATATAAAGCTAAGGTACTCTCAATCTGACTGTCGCCTCTATGGAAATATTTTAAAAATATCCGCAGATGTCGCAGATACAGACTAAAAATCCTAAAAAGTGTTTATGGGTATTCGGTTGCATTCCTCAAACCATTTCTTTTTAATTTTTCTTACTTATGTTCAGTTTTATTATATGTATAGTATATAACATATACATAAGATACAAGGTTAAATAAAAAAATATGAAGCTAAACATGCATGTAGCGGTAATAGCTCTTGATTACGAGTATTTCTGGTTGGTTTACATAGAAAACGAAAGTAATGTGTTTCTAAAATTATATTATGTTTATTTACTTTTAAAAGTTATGCATATATGAAATGTTTGAAGCATAACGAAGTATTCATATTAGAAGAAATTATATCTTACATAATTTATTTAAATTCTAAAAATGTTTAGAAAAAAATAATAATTGCAAGCACTAAATAGAATTACGTAAAAAATTGGTGATAATTTAAGATTTTATCATATTAGCTCATTAAGAATTTAATAGCAGTGGTCGGCTTCAACGCGTCCGTTTATATTTCAATGCGTGCACGTGTGTCTGTCTCACTTTCATTTTCAAAGTAAACGTCCGTAAAACGATAAAGCCATTTGAATTTCATAAAACAATGTGACCTAATACTATTTAGAAACACACTCATTTTTTTGTATAGATAATTTTCCTTAATTTCATTATATTAGATATCACGTTTAAATAAAAGTTAAGAGTTTTATTTAGGTCAAAAATATTTTTAAATAAAAAAAGTCATAATATTATCTTATATTTAAGATAATATTGCGATTTACTGCAATTAATAAGTACAAATCAAAATGCTTTTTTAAGATTGTTTATGCTTAAGCTCTACCTAATATGATTTGACCAATTACAAATGTATGATCAATGCTAATAGGCGAAATAATGTCCAGATCATGTTGTTATCATTACCGGAGATCATGACCATATCTCACGACAATTCGCTAATGTCATGACCATAATAGAGTCACTGCTCTTGAACTATCATTGTTCTATGCAATTGTTACATCTGGGAATGTGTGCTTGTAAAGTTCGTGAAAGCGTGTTTTCTCACCTATCACTAGCAAAGCAGAGTTAGTTATTTCGAAAAATCCTCCCACGAGCAGTGTAATTGTATTGTTGCTTCATTGAATGAAACCATCTACTTAACCTTTAGATTTCGAAGATCAAAAGAAAATCTTTATTAGTAATTTACACATGCTGTGTAGAGCTAATAATGATATAAGTTTACGTTTCGATTATTGTTTTGGTTATCAATATATTTTTTTATTATTTAAAACGTATCTACTTACTAGTACTCTCTCCTTCTCTTCACAGAATTTGAAAAGAATGTATGCTAATTTAATTTTCATAAAAAGTGGTATCCAGTGTGGAAAACTAATTATCATCATTCACCAAGCAGGAAGACATACATTAATATGTATCATCTCCATACAAAACATACGATGCATTTTTCAAATTATTGTACAAACGACATTCTTCAGCTTTACCCAATTTCCTTAAAAATAACACTTTTTACGCAATGTGTCATAACAATGGAAAATGCGGAATTTAATATAACTGATGAAAATCAACACGCAGCGAAACACGGTAATAAGTCATATTCCACACGCATCAATTATACGTAAAAGTAATGTAAGTTGTACAACGTGTATAGTCACTGTTACCTAGTATCTCTAAGTAATCAAGTTATTTAATAAAATAATTTCAGAATATTGAAAGTTTTTCAAATTAACTTTGTTGGTAAGTTTTCTCTAGTTATAAAATAAGACTTTCACAATATAATATTATGGTAATATATCAGTTTTATAAAATGCTTAAAATGAATTTATTAAGATTCTCTTATATTACATATTACGATTTTAATTCAACTAAGTCTTTTTTATTTTAAATTATATTTAAATTATTTCGTATAATTTACTTTCGTTATGATGTTATACAATCGCGTTACGCTACTTTAAAACAAATTACGGTTGTAAAAATATATATTTTGAATGAACCTTTCACCCTACGACATGATGATGGTCATCTACAAAATCTTCCGTACACGACTCTATAATGTTTTCCCATTAACTTTTATACCATCATTTGTTTGTAGACTTCATTACAAAACATAAAAATTAACGGCTGAACCTATCCTATCCTATCCTATACACAAGTTACTAGAGTAGCTCTACTACTGTGGTAACAGTTTCTTAAACAACATGCTATCATTATAGCGTACTGTGTCGGTATAGCACCATATGTAAGAAGTTACGGGTTCGATTTATTCACGTTGTTGTTATACTCTTGTCATAATTTATTTTACAATAGATATCTCCCAAAAAAGTTTAAATAATTAAAATAGCTGAAACAGGTCATAGTACCTATAGGTATATTTTAGTTTCTTAACAGAAACAATGATTGTAGAATGAATCAACTAGATCGAGCCCTATAAATATAGGGAAATCCCGATTGATCCAATATGTATTTAGTTATTAATATTCGAGTAAAATTTAACAATTGAAAGAAGTCATGACGTAATAATGTTTTAAGTAATTATTCATTTACTATTTTGTTAAAAGTTTTTCGCTTTTGGGACAAATGTCAATCCAAGCATTAAGGAATAATCATGCCGAATTATATCCAAACCATTAAACAGTTGACGTAGTACTTAATAGAAATCTCGTATACCTACATTAATTCCTTATCCCATGGAAACTTTCTACTTATCTAGAATAAGTAATAACTGATAGGTACTAACTTTATATGTAGGATACATGCTGATCATATACAAAATTTTAAAGTGTATTAAATATATATATGTATATATATAAATATATATATGTATATATATATATATATATATATATATATATATATATATATATATATATATATATATATATATATATATATATTACGACGCTTTTGTGTTGAATATATGTAAGTATAAAATAGTATAAATAAGAAATAAATTTATACATTTATAATAATAATTTAGGTCCATATTCCTTGGTTCGAGGAGCAAAGAGGTGGTATATTATTATGTTTTTAATTGTTGTCAATTTGATACAGCTCGGATCGTGTTTAATATTTAGAGTATGCAACTAGTATTTAACTAAACGCGTTAGTAGGTTATCGCACAGGCACGTGGATAGGTCGTAGAGTTAAACCTATATTATGTATCATAATTATTTCTTTCTGATTTTTTTTTCAATGTTCTTACATGTTTGTGTCGATTTACATTAATTTTCGTCTGTTCTTCCATCTTCCTTCAATAATATTTTAAAACTATTAATGCATCTTGCATTACTGTAATATTTCAGTATATTGCCAACATTTTACTCAATTACAAACGTTGCCCTCATAAACGGACTAAGAAAACCAAGTTTTAAGTTTATATTTTAAAACTCTTAATGAGATGTGTATGTGAAATGTGGGTGTATCAAGGAGAATGTTTTAGTATTAAGCTTATAATAAACCAGGTAGTAATAAAGTCTTATAATATCTCGGCTAAAACATTATACATATGTACATTTTTAATAGTTGGAAAAAGCTCTCGAACCTGCGGGATAGCGAGTATTTCCTTATTATGTAAATACTAGCGACAAACAAAAACAAATCTATGATCTATCCCACCGGAACCGTACATTTTTCCGCGATAAAAAGTAGCCTATTTGTTATTCTGATGTATGAACTGTATTATTGTAAAGTTTTATTAAAATCCGATTAGTAGTTTTTGTGTACTAATCTATATAAGTTACTATAGTTTTTAATTATCCCACGGGAACTCTTTCATTTTCCGGGATGAAAAGTATCTAAAATGTCGACCGGGAAGATAAGGTACTACTATGCAAAATTTCATTTAAATCGGTCCAACAGTTTCAGAGATTAGCCCGTACAAACAGACAAACAGACAGAGAAACAAAAAAATTGAAAATAATCTGGATTTGTTCTATTTCTCTTCTTACATCCCCCTGACTCGGTTTTTAGCATTTTTTTCTATGTACAGACATTCGACCTCTACAGTTTTATTATATGTATAAATTGCATGCATTTGAGTATGATATTAGTTAAGACATCTTTATGGCGGCCAAACATTATTAAGTACTTTGGTACTTTAAATTGGGACATTCTTATATTAAATGATAATCTAATTTAACCCATTACACAGACATTGATTACAAAACATCACTAATATAAATTCTGTTCGACACACGTATGTGCCTACATTGTACATACATTTGTATCTCCGCGGTGATCGTTTATCATTAGACACATGAACCGGTTCTAACTATGAGATGAAGTCGACCATCCAATAAATATTTGTATACGCTTACTTTCATTTTGATCGGTGCATCACTGTGCAATAATCGATTTTGTTTCATATTTTTGAACTATTACTAAAATATGAAGGTCTATTATATATATACTAATATTATAAAGCTGAAGAGTTTGTTTGTTTGTTTGGTTGAACGCGCTAATCTCAGGAACTAGTAATCCGATTTTAAAAATTCTTTTTGCATTGGATAGCCCGTTAACACAGGAAGGCTATGGGCTATTTATATCATCCCGGACCCGGAAAATGTACGGTTCCCGTGGGATAGATTTGTTTTTGTCTAAGGACGAACCCGAAGCGAAGCGAGGGTGGGTCGCTAGCTTGTAATAATATAGTATAGATACATCGTCGTCGTCGTCTCAGCCCAAACACGTCCACTGCTGGACATAGGCCTCCCCCAAAGATTTCCACGACAACCGGTCTTGCGCCATCCGCATCCAGTGGACTCCAGCGACTTTGACCAAGTCATCGGTCCACCTTGTGGGAGGCCTACCCACGTATAGATACATAGATAGTGTAAAATAGCAATTTCATATATTAGTGTTAAATAATATTAAAATATAATTTATAAGTTTAATTTTGTTTTAACTTTAATAGAGTTCGGTTTTTATTAATTATAATTAAAGAAAATAAAATACTGTACAAAAGATTTTGTAGCTTTTAATTTCCATTTTATTATAAAAATGTATATTATTTTATCTAGTTCAAGTACATTACATATTATGTGTTATTATTAGTTAATACTTATTAGCACATTTCGTCTTAAAGTTTATTTCATCTTTCTGGAACATTAAAAAAGTTCTATTTTCTACTAGAAAATTTCTAATATTATAAAACACAATTCCTAAGTAGTTGATTTTAATGATATTTTCTTCATTGCATTTTCTTAGAAATGTATAGCCGACGCTCGTCGAAATGCCTGCTCTTTGCCCTTTAAATGAACTGGTCTTAACGTAGAATTTCTTGGAGGTTTTAAGAAGTCATTTACCCCTACATATATCCTGCTTAGATACTTTGTTTATCGTGTTCTTATTTAAATATGTATATTTATTTAATATATTAAATATTTTTTATTACAGTTTTTATTAATTTTAACATTATGTACATAATTTGACTTGTTGAAGCTTGTATTTTAAAATTATATATAACATTTTATCTATTATTATTATTTTAAAGCCGGAAATTAAAACAATGCCGAGTACGAGTATACCTATAATAATTACTGCTTGTATTGAACTTGTCATAAGTTAATTTAATTTACAACGTATATATAATGTATTGTTGGCATATCATGTAAAACAATAAAATAAATAAAGGTATACCGACTGTAAGATCTTTAAAGGTATCAATCATTTAGAAAGTAATTATTCCAGCTTTATTTCATTTTTTTTATATTTTGGGACCACAATATATACAATATATAACGTAATATACATACTAAACATACGGTCCACATAAAACACCCATATTGAGCCTACTTCCGTCTCTTTAAGTCGGTTGAAAATATGTAAAGCTGTAATAGAGTACAGGTTACACTTGTTTAAACAGACGAACTATTCGAAACTAATTTATAAATATGTATGTATATGATGCAAAGTTGTTTAAGTAAATTTTCAACTAAACAAGTTAAATTTTAATTATATTACAAGTTTTTAAACGTTTTGATGACATTTTTATAAAGCGACGGTAACATCTTTGATGTCATTTACAGATAATGTTCATGTACTGAGGTATTTTTGATTATATCTGAGCGGATATGTTTACAGTTTTATAAAAAGGTAATTAAGAAACATAATCTATTCAACTATTCCTATTGCATATGATTACGAACTGTCATATAGCGTATCTTAAGCTCGAGTATCTAAATTCGATTCTCGCATTCTTGAGACGAACTGTGGTTACTTTTATATGTATATATATTTTCGTCATCAGAACCTAGGACTCTAGACTACAAAGAGGCTAGATGATTAAAGTGTATATATATATATATATATATATATATATATATATATATATATATATATATATATATTTGTTATAATAAGTTTTAGTATTCGATTTATACCTGTGCCGATCAGAAATAATCAGCTGTCGATATTACCTACAATCAAAATTTGTATCAAAATCTTTAAATGCGCGGTTGTCATCACTATAATAGCGAATTACATATAACATTTATTTATTTTAAATAAAACTATCTTTTCGGATTTTTTCGCGGATTTATTTGGATTTTTGGTTCCCTAATTCCAAATTAATCCGCGAAAAATTCCGAAAAGAAAGTTTTAGTTAAAATGTCAAATATGCGCGGAACTCTAAGAAAGTATTATTTATTTATTTCGTGTAATAAGGTTCTGTTCTTTAAGTTTATAAACACACATATATAGGTGTGTTTTGTGTTAAAGCGCAATTTTTATATCTTTTCCAAAAAAAACGTCGAGCAAAGCTAGGTCACCCGCGCAAAACTTGGTTTAATAAGCTTGGTTAAGATAGCAGTGAAAGGGTAGCAGAATTTATATGGAACTAGCTTTTAACCGCCAAAGTGAGAAATTCCAAAATAAAAAGCATTAAATCCTATAAGCCAAAACAATTTTGACATATACCTACATATATGTCAGATTCAGTCGATGAAGAGTTTTGAAGATTTACGGCGTTCAACAAACGAATGTTATATATATATATATATATATAACTTTTATTATATATATATAACAATACATATATATTATATTTATATTATATATATAACAATATATATATATATATAACATTTAAAGAAAAAATACACGAAAAACCATTAAAATTACTAGTAATGGCGAAAAACTTTCACTATTCAATTGACCTTTGTCCATATTCTAAACTTCATGTCATTGTTGATCTTAATTCCGAGACGTAGTTTTGCTTACGTAAGGACAAGTGTATAATGTAAGTAGGTATACTTATAAAGGATAAGGCAAAATAAATTTTCTAAATTTTATACATATAAACAATATATTCTGAAGTAATCAGCGGTGTGACTTTATAATAATAATTAATGGATATAGAATGAGATGTTGTAAATTTTAATGTATTAGCATTTCAAATAAGCATCTTTGTGGCATTGTTGATATTCTACCATTTTTTTTGGCGGCGCTTAATGTAACTAATTTATATGGATAGAGGAAACCTTATTAAATTAGGTTCCGAGATATTCGACGCCAAAGATTGTCAATGAAAAAAGATAAACATTACAAATGAACTAATTAACTACATGCTAGTTGTATTTATCATAGCCTACTAATATAATCGCATCAATATTATAAATGTGAAAGTTTGGATGTATGTTTGTTACTCTTTGACGTCAGAACGGCTGAACGGATCTAGATGAAATTTGGCACAGAGATAGATTATAGTCTGGAATAGCACATAGGTTACTTTTTATCCCGGAAAAATGTACGTGTCCCGTAGGATAGATTTGTTTTTGTCTAGGGACGAACCCGAAGCAAAGCGAGGGTGAGTACTCCATAATATAATGTATTTAAATAATAGTCCCTATAGTTCATCTTTACATTGAAACACTTTACGAATAGTGACCTCTATTCATATTCCATACACACTAGTAAAAATGGTGGCAAGTGGCTAATGCCAGCTTTCATAATACATATAATACTCGAGCTGTTTTTTTAATTACAAAATTATTCTTTATTGTCCTTGTTGACAGTCTTACACATATATCGTCCATGAATTGAATTTACAGTATATTACATAAGGAATTGATATATTATCTAATAATAATAATTATGTATGAATTCTAAACGTATGTACCTAGGAGTATATCAATCAGGTAGTGCCGGATTTAACCTTACCGCAGCCCCTGGGCATAGAAGAAATGCCGCCCTATTATTGCAATTTGGCATAAAATGGATAAACTTTCGACCAAGTTTTTTTTAATTACTTAGTAATAGTTTACAAATGATTTCAATTTTTCGAAAAATTTACTAGTACTATTTTATTTTCTGCCAGCCGATGATAAGCAAATCTAATATATTTCGATACCTAAAATACACCATAAATTGATGTATAATATTTTAACTATAATTAGAGTCCATACCTAATCATATTTACCTATTAGATATTCATATCTAAAATATTGTCGGCTGGCACCGACTTCTAAAATATCTGATTAAGTATCTATACTAAATGAAAACCCCCGTCTAGTAATTTTTTACATTTTAATAGTGACTGGAAGTAGGTTTTTTTAGTAAATATTTTTGTAGCTGCACAAAATTTCCAATAAGGTGCAGTCTAAAAATACATGTCTTTTCTAACTTTTGTAATAAATTATTATATAAACTTGTATGCGGTAGGTATTGAAGCTTCCTTTGTTGTCTCGTATTCAATAGCATCCTAAATATTGACTTGGAATCGTAGCAAGAACTCCACTTGCATTCACCGCTGAATTGTAGTCCAGAATGTATCAAAGTGGATAGACGAATAATTGATTGTATACTGAAAAACCGTTCTTTTGATATTCTGACTGATGGTTTAATAAACCAAATTGGATAGAGTCTTATAAAAATTATTCGTTACAATTGCGAATGTAATGAACATACCTATGAAATATAATATTAATTAAGAAATTATAATATTAATTAAGAAATCTTCTCGAACAGCTATTCAAAAAAATATCTTTAGTTTAGTAATTATTGTATAATATGTGATATAGTATACTGACGTTACAAGCAAACTGACATAAACAAACATACTTTAATTTTTTTAATATATGATATACAATTTTAATACTGGGGAATGATATCAACTCATGCATGGAAGTTACTATAATTTTGCATAGAATTTTGTAGAACTTATTATAAAACATATATAAGTGTAATATTTCATCAATATTTTTGAATTTTGAGAGTTTTCAAATATCCATCTTAGGTGTGTAAGAGAAAAGAGAAAAGTGCAAGAATACTAGTTCATGAGAAGCACATACAATAGCTTATAATGCACTTAGTTGGTTTCACTATATGTTCTTAGTAGCTGCTAATTCGTAAGCAGCGCTAACTAATAATACTCAATACTTATATAAAAAGAAGTCTAAAAAATGTATACACAAAATAAACGATGAACTCCGGTATTTCAAATTCTATGGAGTTTATATTTATATTTAAACATCATGACCATTTGCATATAATAAGGCAAATATTACTTTTACAAGCTATATCATACATAGCTATACATACATACATTTTATTTACATAGAATAGTCAATTTAAAAAAAAAGGTTATATAGGCCCTATATGTATTTGTACTAGAATAATTTTAGAAACGTTTTTATTTAATTATCCCTTTCGTTTTTCTAATCACTAACATTATGTTATAAAATTAATTTCCTGAAATATGAATTAAATTAAATTTAAACGAATATTAACTAAGCCAACTTTTATTTTCAGGTAGTTCCGGTTCTTCTATTCGCCTTCATCACGAAATGTCAGTGTGAGCCGAAAAATGGTTACAATTATAATAATGGTAATGATGTATCGCAATTTGGGCAAATATTGAAACCACCGCCGCCTCCTCCTTCTCCAATCTTTCCAGTACCATTTCATGGTGGATCAGGAAGATTACGTCAGAACTATGATCATGGCTATCAGTATCAGCCACCCCCGCCACCTCCACTACCACCAATTTCACCATCGACTGAATTTAAATTTCCTGCTCCATTCTATAAGCAATATAATTTTAATTTTGTGCCTCCGCCTCAACCTTTTTCAACAACGCCATCACCGAGTCTCTTTCAGAAAGTGTCTGGATGGCTCTTTCCATCACAACAAGTTTCCCCTGACACAGGGTCAGACGTATCCTATAATGTAGCATCAGTGAAAAAAGACTGTAACCCTTGCAATTTAGTACCCTGGATTCCAGTTATTCGATATGATTTAGCATCTAAAAATCTACATCAAAATATAAATCCAACTTACGGACCACCAAGTCCAACAATCGGCAATAATTTTAACGCAGAGCGAAATGTGGCACAACGTTTTAATCCACAAAATAATATACAACAGACGAGTCAAATATCCTCTGGAGTACCTCATGCTGTTTATGGACCTCCTGCTTCTCACATAAACAATGAAAACACTAGAATTCACGCTTCAACATATGGACCACCGAGCCCCACGCATAGTGTTACGATCTCAAACGTGACACCTTTAAATTCTAAGTTCTCCAGTGGTTCACATCACGAAGGACAAAATTCATCTCCTAGACCATCTTCCACTTATCGCTTACCAAGTTCATCTCAAAATGTGCCTTACTCAATATACAATTCGCCTGCTTCATCTTATTCAACTCCATCAGTCATTTATAACAATCACTTTTTATCACCAACACAAAATCCAGTATCAACAAATTACAATCCCGATATAATAAATCAACATTTGCCGTCACAGAATGATTTACATGAATTAGAACCGTCCACAGAGTTACGATTGCCAAAAGTTTCACATCCTACGGGATTTAGAAATTCATACGGGGAACCGATAACTAACACATATGCCTTAGATATTCCATACTCTGTATCTGCACCAGCTGCTTCTACTAAAATTAATACTCAAGTATTACCAGATAATTATGAAAATTCGAATGCAAATATGACATTAGCTTTAGCAAATCCAGCACCATTTAGTTTCAATAGGGGCAGGAATATACATACCCTTCAACCAGTTGCTTTGCCTAATCTTAGTGTTTCACCTCTTCCTCCAATTTTTAACGCACGACCTTTCCGTCCCTTTTCAACAAATTATCCTTTTAATATAGTCCACGGGATAAATCATTTGCAATCACAATCAAATTACGTTGACATTGCAAAAAGCGTTCCGATTGCTGAATATACGCATTCTGTAGAATATCCTACAACTATTATTCAGTCACCAGTTATTGATATCGATGAATTAAAAAAATCTAATCAAAGTAAAGCTTATAGAAACATTGCAAATAGTTATGAAATAGACGAACTACCACAGGCCTCAGAAGATCATATTTCAGCAACTAAATCAAACCAAGATGCAAGCTTTGAGAGTATTAGTCCTGGCTTAACAAATGATTTATACGACAGTAGTATACCTCTCGATTTGAAGCAGTCTCCTAATGCTCCTTTTAATCATAAAGCTAGTTTTGCTGATTTACGAGGAGTGAAAGATGAAGATGTAGATAAATATCGTACAGAGAGCAATTTGCAATTCATAGATTCGCCACTTTTATATCTTAAGCCAAGTGCTCCGCACAAAAATTTTAAAAGTTTTATGTTTCCTACATCAACACCTGGAAAGCAACATGAATATGAAATTTATGATGAATATATTCCTACCACATCATCTCCTACCCAAACTATAAATAATCTAGACGAAACCAAAAACAGACTGAATGAAGACTTTTCACATACTATAGCGGAAGAAGAAAATCGGAATCAGCCAAAAATTGTTCAAATCATAGTTCCTTACACAACCGGCCAGCGAATAGATACTAATAAAAATAGTTTTTCACCTAGCCAAGAGGATGTAATGGATAATACTGAACAAGAATATAAAGCTAGAAAGATTCAGTCTCATACAGAAAACAGTTACTACAGTTTTGTTACAGAAGGTACCAGTAGCTTAATGACCACAACCGAAGAACCAATGACCATTATTACGGAACAATACGATCCAGAACGATTAAACACGCCTGCAATACTTAACGACCTGTATGATGTTAAAGAACCGCCTTTTGATATAATTAAATTACAACATACGATCGACGATTGGACAGAGCAGGAGTACTCGAATCATTATCATATTCCTCAGAGGACACGTTCTAATGAAAAATTTGCAAAGCAAATCCCAGACGAATATTTAACAACAGTTAGTCCCATCATAAACTACATGACAGAAGCTAGTTACAATTTTGAATATGATCATGAAGGTTCAAGTAGTATTCAGCACACGGTCACTGAAAATCGAACAAATAACTTGCCTGTAAATCGTAAAGAATACAATACTATTCAAAGAGATAAGAGTGATAACAATGGTAAGAATGAAGAAGCAGAAAGTAATAAAAAATTGCACATTTACACAGCCGCGTCAACATTTCGAACTACAACGACGACTACGACCACCACTCCAGCGCCTTGGGGTCACATACAAACTTCTATATCACCTTTAACAAATGAAAAGGTGTATGTCGTTACATCGAAGCCATGGAAGGAGACAAATGAAACAGACAGTGACAAACAAGAATATGATTATGAAGGGAATGAATTTAATTCTAAGAGGACAGAATTTGAGGATTCATCTGAATTAGATGATCTTCCTTTTAAATCTCCACGATTCTCTAATAGACCTTCGTATGGTTTTACAGCTGATGCAATAGAATCGATTAAGCTTGATTCACCTTACGGTTTTTCAAAGGGCTGGCATCGAAGAAGTAAGGAATTAATGAGAATAATTTTGTAGTATAAAATAATTAAAACAATATTATATTCTGATATATTTTCTTTTGTTGCAGTAAATAATCTTGGAAATGCTGCGCTTTTATCAAATGAAAATACATATTATGAAGAAGATAAGGCAAGTCAAGTCACTTTTATTGTTACTTATTATATATGGCAATACGATTCATTCTCGACGCCATCTTTTGGTTGTTGATGTTAATTTATCAGAGAACTTTATATGCGCACTAAGTTTCATCACAATTGGATTAATGATTTTGGAGTGCATACTTTATAAACCAACAAACGTTTTATATATAGTAAATATAAACATATTGTTTAAGCAAATCAACATTTTAAAAGATTCAGTTGATAAGCCTAATTTATTTGTTTCAGGAATCAAAAACCACTTAATTTTAAATGAAAAGAACAAGTAAACTCTGTGTCTACATGTGATTGACGAACTAAGAGTGTTACAAAACCAAAAAGTACTTAAAATTAGTGTTCCGTAAAGACAATATAATAAACAATATACTGTTATTTCACCAGAGTATGTTTAGTATAGAGTACATTAAGTAGTGCAATTAACGAATTATGAAGTGTTATAAAACGTACTCTCTTTAATTTAATCGTTATATTATGTGCTTGTGACAGTTTTAAATAACTTAAACCAAAGTAGGGACTTATATTTTTATTTCACTTAAATTAATTTTTAAGGCTTAATCGTAATTAAGGTGATTGCTATTTGGTATCCAAATGTAATACACCGACAGTTCTTATATTTACATTATTTACAATTGGGTATTTGATGAATGTTCATATTTATAAATTTTCATTCAAATTACATAGTATATTAATTATGTATTAGCAAAATGAAGTGAAGAAAAACAAGTTACATAAGGATAAAGTTAATAAACATAAAATTCTGTAACCAAAACATACAAGATACTCCAAAGAATTATGATTTAAATACAAAAGGAGCATGCTGGGATAACAATTTGGTATCCCTTTTTGCTTAGATAAAGATGGAGACCATAATATTCCGTATATGAATATGGATAGATTAGACCACTATAAGGGCTTGACCGATTTTAGTGTTGCTCTACTAATTTCTTTCCTATATAAGTAATATGAGTAAACTTATAAATAACAGTTTAAGTACGATCAAATACCCTAATATGTACTAACAAAAACTTTGTAAATATAAATTTGTAAATAGTTAGTTTTAGCTATTAGAATGATGATCGTAATGTACAATGTATAGTAAAATGCCTACTGTACATAAGTTTTAAGCATGAAGTGATGTTTTTAATTGTATACTTACTTATTTACATAGGAAAATAGTTTAATAAACATAACAATAAAGTCTATTCAGGAGCGTTTTCTGTATTTTTATTCTTTATTCTAAAGTACAAGAACTCTGCACTCCATATAATGACCGTCACAAATGTTACAGCATTCAGTACCACTATAGGTATTCTATAAGATCCAGATAAATCTCGTATCCGACCTGGAAGTGATAAATATAATTTAAGATATAAATATGATCTAGAAAATTGTTTAAGACCATTATCTTTTCGTCCAATAATTTATCGTATGATTAAAAAATTAATAATTCGCCCGATTGTTGATTTATCATTATTGACTCCAAGTGTTACTGTGTCTAATAAAATAATATTAAGAAAATTATATTTTTTATTTATTCAATTACTAACGACTCATCCTCGCTTCGCTCGGGTTCGTCCCTAGGTACGTTTTAACGGTTAGTATAGATATCCCACGGGAACCGTAAATTTTTCCGGGATAAAAAGTAGCCTATGTGCTATTCTAGACTATAATCTATCTCTGTGACTTTTATCCAGATCCGTTCAGCCGTTCTGGCGGGATTGAGTAAAAAAACATTTTTATCCGTCTAAGCATTCGCATTTATAATATTTATGGGATTATCGGATATACTCGTATATGGAGAGAGGTGCTCTTTTGTAAATCTTCAATTATTTTTACTTTACAAGGCTTTAAAAGATGAGAAGAAATATTTAGTAACTAAGCAGAGGACGAAAGTTTGTATTTTTAATTATGTTTTCTTTCAGTCTGTTAAAAAACATGAAAAAAAATCTCTGTCGTATGTCGTATTTATAGTAATTGCAAGGACGGCCACAAATCCTGAGTGTTTGAATTTTGAGTACGAGTCTTGTTTTGAGAGTATACCTAATTATATACCACAGATCACATAATCATATACAAGCTTAAACGCAATACATACAATACGAACAAAATATTCTTTACAAACGGGATCTTACATTCTTTATATGTCACCTTTATTATCACATTACCATGTTTTGATAAAGTATTACGATAATTGTTTAAAGATTATAAATGCTACTGATACCAGTACATTCACATTTTAGATGCATTAACTCATTAGAATTTTTATAAATAATAATATAATTGAATACGATATAATTGAATATGATTTTTTTTTCACATTTATGTACTGTCCTTTACGAAGATAATTCTGTATTAAGTATTTTGAAGAATTATCTACGTGTTATGATACTGTTTAACTAACTATCGTTATCGTCATTTAGCTCATATTACTGTTAATTACTGGCTATTACTATTAATATGAGGTTCAATAAGAAAAACAAAAAATATCCTACGAATAAACTTGTGCTCTACATATTATGTACTGGACGATATCTAGAAAGAGTTTTCATTTTAATTAAAAGCTATATATGGACGTAAAAGATGATAAAGGACATTGCAACTTCTTGTGTAGACGAGTGGCATAATTTTTGTTTCTTTAGCCAGTTATGAAACTTAGATCACAATTAGAAGTATATTAAAGAAAAAACGAACTCGCTAAACCGTAACAAACTAGGGATATTGTGGTTGCTATTCCTTTTTATCAGGTGTTATTTTTATAGATTTTATAGATAGAATGATTGATGAGGAAGATTTAGGTGTATAATTCATTAAGGTTTTGTGTAAATTGTTTAAAATATGAAGATAACTGTTGAAGATGTCGGAAAAAAACGTGTAGACTGGGAGCTTTATTGGCGTGCCCCGTGTAAACTGTTATAATACTGTATGGTATAAAATATATGTATTACTAGCGACTCACCCTCGCTCCGCTCGGGTTCGTCCCTGGGGTGGGGTCTGGGAGGACCACCCTTATCCTTTTCACTTAGGGGTATGGAAAATAGATAGTAGCCGATTCTCAGACCTACTGAATACGCATATAAAATTTGGTAAAAATCGGTAAAGCCGTTTCGGAGGAGTACGGTAACTAACATTGTGACATGGAAATTTTATTTATAAGATTATTATTATTGTTATCTATGTATTTTATATACATGTATGTTTGTGTTATTTATTATACTAAGACTAAATGTATTATGTTATTTTTATATATACTGTGTTTTTTTCTACTTTATTTCCATATTACATTGCACTTTTCTGCTCCGCTAAATGACAATCCTTCTCACCTCCTAGGTTGACTGGAAGAGATCTCTTTTTGAGATAAATCCACCTTTGTCTTCAATTTTATCTTAATATTTGTAATTTTTGTTTTTTATGTGCAATAAAGAATATATAAAAAAAAGTTATATGAAAACAATGTATTATAGGATTATTCCTCTTAAAATGATCTAAGAAAGTGGCAAGCCACCCTAAGTAGACTAGTTGAGTGAAATAAAGTAGTGGCTGGTTGAGTAAAGTAAAATAAAATAATGCCTGAAAAGGTATTCCTTTTTATCAGGCTATGCGCTATTGCCAACACAATTTCTTTGGTTGGTTACGGTTTAGCGAGTTCCTTTCTTCTTAAATAGACTTCATATATATGTAGTGTTCTAGTTATCCTCTAAGTTTCATTATTGGCGAGAAAAAAATATGCCAAAAAGTTGCACACTCTTTCGTACGTATTCAAGAGTAGAGTGAATTAATAGTCATTTTTGGTCAAGTTAAATGTAATATGGATAGTTTTTGTTGTTTCAAAAACTAATATAATATAGAAATCGATAAATTTAGCTTACCTAATAACGATCCAATAGTAATAATCACAATACCATTGCAAAACATTTGTAAACCAGATGCGAAAGGCAGCCTCTCTAATGGTACATAGTTGGGAACTATAATGTTCATGTATACCGTTCGTATTCCTTTGGTCATTCCCATCAATAGTGCCACAAATAACATACCGCTGAACGAGGTGGTGAACATCATTACTAGAAATCGAGTACAAGAATAAAAAATAAATTTAAATTATAAAAGAATCTAATTCCTAAATTGGAAACGAATTAAAAAATTGAGTTCTTTATCTAATCAGATGATAATAAAATCTATTTTTAAAAATTACTGATTACATGTTCTTGTAAATGACACTTACTTGTTCTTGTAAATATAATTATTAGCAGACAAACAAGGTACATAAATCTTGGGGGTCTATGGCACCATTCTCCGATAAACGCAGACAACAACCGAAATATCGTATCAGAAAATCCTATCACTGCCATGATCTTGGCTATATCCGTTGTTTCAAAATTTAACATATCCTTGAGAATTATAGGTAGTATAAGAGAAAAATTTGTTTCAACACACGAGGCTAGTGATAGTCCTAGTAAAATATTTACAAATATTGGATCTCTTAGTAGCGTTAGATCGAAGAAATCTACAATTTTCTTTAAAATACCCTTAGATTCATTTTCTGTAAGGTCTCGTTGCTTTATTTCTCTTTCCTTGCTGTCAACAAGATCAGTTTCCTTGAATATATTAACAGAACTGCCTAAGTTAATTTCCTGAGATTCCCACCACTTATATTTCGATTCTGCTAAAGGTGGTTCAGGGGTCTTTCTACTGACGTCAGGATGTGAGATCGCATTTCTGTTTTGTATCCCATTAGGACAATTTAGTGAACGCATAGAAATACTTTTTGGTTGTGGCAAACTATTAACTATTGATGATTCTAGTTTGTCAGATGAATTAATTCCTAAAATAAGGTTAAATACATTTTTAATTATAATGATTTAATTTTTTTAATATAATAAAATAATAAATATCGCAAATATTATAATTTTTTTTATATTTTATTCTAATGTGTTATTATATCAATCTTACAGATTATGCAGCTATTATATAATGAAAAAAAAAACAAATTACTTGCCAGTCTTTGATGATATTCTGATGTTTCCATTAACCAGTTCTATACTAGTATCTTTGTTTAATGGTACCATCTCTTCTGTGTTTGGAGGATTTATTAAGTACCATTTTGCCGGTCTAAGTAAGATTGCAGCTAAAAGAGAATGCAGACAAATTGCACCTAAAATAAGTACCGCATATCTCCACCCATAGGTATACATGAGTAAACTCATCAATAAAGGCATGTAAATAGCTCCTAATCCAGTGATAGACATGCCAAGTCCTACAGCACGTCCTCTTTTTTCTTTAAAAAATGAATTTATTGCTAAAGAGAAGGCTGCCATAACTGCTGCGACTCCCATTGCTGAAAGTAAAACATAATATTAATAAAATTACCATATTTGTGTATCTTTATTAAATAAAGTAATTACTTAAGTCTTTTACTTGCCATTAATAATACTGTAAGAGATTAAAAATAACCAGAAGCTAGTGGCCATCGAGGTTAATATGAGGCCGGATGAAACTAATAAAGCACCCGTAATTGCTACTTTCCTATACCCAAAGCGGCTTAGTACTGGGCCTCCAAAAAAGGATACAAGCATTCCCAATCCATGATTTAATACAATGATTAGAGTCCCTTGGGTTGCGGTAAGACCTGTTTCTTCAAAAGCTTCTTGAAAAACTAAGCCGAAGCCAGCTATGAGTGGAAGTACAACTACCTATAATAAAAAATAAATATTAATAAGCTAAGAGTTAAAAATATATGACATGATTACGTTTAACTGTTTTTTGTTACCATTTTATTAAACTGTTATGGAATTGATAACAAATCCAAATTTTAAAGTCCAATTTCTTTTTATTTTTTTTTATTTTCGTATAAACTTACATTATTTAAAGCGTAGGCGAAAGTAACGACCCATCCGTATCCTCCATCAGGTGGCACTTTATTCATAGCATGAGACATTTTGATGAAAGTAATTCCGGGTGTGAAACTGTCACATTTCTTTAACAAAGCTGCCCACAAGTTTGTTCTATCTCACTTTCACGATTCACTTCGCTGTTACAACACACTATCTAAATTAAATAAATAAATATATTACTGTTGGTAGCCTAATTTGGTTTTAATATTTGAGATTATCAACGATCAGGCGGTATTTACTGACATAGAAACATATGTACATTGAGTGGTCTGCCCGCATGTAGTGACGACTAGCAGAGAACCAGGCATTCTGATATTAATTGTTATCGCAGCGAATATTATGTCGCGGTTATCATTTTCTATGTATATAATTGGTCTAAGACGCACTTATTTACTTAAAAACTTTTGTAGAAAAAATTTGATCTGCTCAATTGAATATTATGCTGTGAATGAATCATAATTGTTAGATTTTTTTCTAAACTATATTTGCAGTAAGTAGTATGATTTGTACTTAAAGAAGATTTTTATCTTCAACATGATGTGATGTGATGGTTGACAATATATTATGTACGTTTGACAGTACAAAAGTTTTTATCACATTATTTAATTATTGGACCGGTTTGAAAAAAACCGGAGGTTCAGACAAGGTAACGTAATGCATAGGTATGTAATGTTACCGTGGTTCAGATGTATATTTTTTTAACGATTTGAACGTGAAAAAAGAACGTAATTCTTTTTTTATGAATAGGTCAAGGCCTTAATATATTGAAGGAAATATTTTAGCCCTCAGAACAGAATAATAATTTTTAGAGTAATTTTAAACCTGTAGCATTATAGTTGAAAAGTTATTGGGTATTATTTAGTAGATAGTAGTTAGTACTGACTCTTTTTTAAGACACGTTTGGCTCAGTTTGTAGTCACCCTACTTCCTGTGCCAGCGGTCGCGGGTTCGGGTTTCGCTAGGAGCATTTATTTGAGTGATGAGCACGAATGTTTGTACTCCACTCATGGGTGTTTATATTTATAATATTTATGTATTTAAAGTTTAATATGTGTAGTGTATCAACTATCTTGTATCCATAGCACAAGCCTCGTAGCTTACCATGGAATTAGATGGTTATGTGTTTTATTGTCCCAACATATTTATATTTTTGTTATATTATGATACTTTAAATATTTTATTCTTCTCTATCTATACACAAATACAAAAATAGTGCGAGAAAATCGGGATCACATAGGAGTGGGGACGGGTTTGATTTTGCTTTACACCTTTCTATGTTTAATCTTATTTATTAATAATTAGAAATAATAAAAGCCTAGAAATAATAAATAAAAAATGAGAATATATATAAAATATTAACTACGGGTAAGAATCATAATATATTCTAAATATATCTGCTTCTCGGAGTTAAAATGATAATCCAGCACTAATACTCACTTATGTTTATGCTTTTTTGGAATGCAATATTGAGTAATATATATTTGTCTGATTAAACTTGTGATGATTAAACTTTTTTTACTTTTGTTTTGTTTATTTTTGTTTTGTATTATTCTTTTAGATGGAGTAATGCGACTTAATAATCGATTTTCATTCTGAACTTATTTATAACTTTTTATTTAGGAAATTTTCCTACACAACTTTTATTTTTATTTTGTCAATATTTATTTTTGTAGGAAATATGAATATACAGTAAAGTTCACCTTAAAGATAAAGTCTACGCACATCAAACATCACGTGAAACATTCTATTCATACCAGCAAAATAAGTTCTTATTTACGTTATGTAATATCACGGTAATTGAATTAATTACCGTGGTAATATATTTATATAGGCAGTGGTAGCCCAGTGGTAACGCGCTCGCTTGGGAACCTAGTGAAGCGGGTTCAAATATCGGGTCTCATACCTCTGATATTTTCATGTGCGAATCATTTCCAACATGACTACCACTTGTCCTATGGTGAAGGAAAACATCGTGAGGAAACCTGCATGTCTGAGATATGAGCTTAACAAGTTTTTGAAAGCCATGTGAAATCCGCAAACCCGCACTTGGCCAGTGTGATGGACTATGGCCTGACTCCCTTCATATTGAAGGGAGGTCCGTGCCCAGCAGTGGGACGTTAAAAAGGGCTGAATACATAATATAATATATTTATTTTCTGTGAGAATCATAAGACTTTCAAATTAAAAAAGATGAACAAAATTAAGAGGGCTCCCCAAAGAAAAAATTTGTGTTTTTATTGTAGTAGAATGTATGAAGAAAGCTAAAAAAAAGACAAATAATAAAACCAGACCGCGTACAAGTCGGGCTCGCGTGGGTTTCAATTACTTAGTATTCATTATAAATTGCTATTTAATAAAACATTATTCGACTCGCACTTCACGGAATTTTTAGTAAATAAAGAAACGTAGAGGTAAAGGAAGGAAAAAGCGAAAATTTGTGTTTGCGTCCAAATATGTCAAAATTTAATTTATTTTGTTAAATTATATAATATGCGACTTACTTTCGTTTCGCTCGGATGCGTCCCTTGATACGATTTTGTTTACAATTTCATGGGTTTTAAATTTTTGGCGAGGAATCCTGATTCTTTTTTTAAAATAAAAGTTACTCCTCATAACATCAGTTGTCTGCAAGTAAAAGTTCCGTCTAAATCGATCCAGCCGTTTCGGAGATTAGCCGGAAGATACAGACAGACAGACAGACAAAAAAAAAATTTTTTATTAGTACCGTATATACTTCAATTAAATTCAATTTCTTAATTTACCGTCACCGTATTATATATGTACAATGTACATACACTTTCGTATTTAGTAAAAAGCTGTTATTTTGATATTACAAACAGACATTTAAATTTTATTTATCTGTATAGATAGAGTTGCTTGTGCTTATTCATTAATGGCAAAGATCTGGAATGGGCTAAAATCTTTTGGTGTTGGTATTCTTAAACTATACCTGTTTGATATAACAAAGTTGGCTAAATTTATATGGGAATAAAAATCACATACAAAGTGTTAAATTAAAAAAACTACTAGAACCTTTAAACATTATTAGTTTCTACAAGTTTAATCATTGTTGTAAGAATTTATTAATTTAGATCGATAAAATTGGTATTTACTTCATTTTTAATTAAAACAGTGTGGAAACTGAATTCTATGCTTTTGATTTTAATATAATTATTTTTGTGATTTTAAAATAGCTACTAATTAAAAGGTTTTTTGCACAATATTGTACTTAAATATCCATTAGAAATACCGAATAAAATATCTATAAAGATATTGCCAAAATCTAGTGTATTTTTATTGCTTTGACTTTAGGGGCTTTTTATTTTAATTTGGGCATACTCGTAAAATCGGCTAAGCAAAACAAATTCAGCGAAAATATCTATTATCCTTAACATTTTAGATAAAATATGTGATATTCATAATCATCATTAATAAAAAAATATTAAATACTTGTTAGAAGTCGATTGATACTAGCGAAAGGTAAACGACCGGCTCATTTATTTCAACTAATGTTAGCTCGCAACTGTGTATACGTGATAAATTTAAAAAATATAAATAAATTAGGTGAATACGACAAAATTTAATTTCATGAACATTTTTACCATTAATCGTAAACAAATGACCATTATATTTAGTGGTGTATCTACACCAGCATATCTATGCTATGCTGTTTTTTTGTCACTAAATTCATTATTCCACAATATTATAAAGGTGTCTATACCAAAATTCACATAAATTGATTTTGATATAAAACACAAGTTTTTGGTTAGACATTGTCGTCTTATTATTGAATCATAGAGTATATAGTGTATCGCTATATATGTAACTAGCGGACCCGACAGACGTTGTCCTGTCTACACGTCTTTAATTTGAAAATTTCAAACTTTTTTTAATAATTTTTTTGATGAAAATTATTATTCAAATTGTGAATCTAAACCATTCCCAGATCCCCTTGAACACACACAAACAATTTCATCAAAATCGGTCCAGTCGTTTGAGAGAAGTTCAGTGACATACACACTCACAGAAGAATTATATATATAAAGATTACGTGTAAGTGGTCTCTATAGCCGTAGAGCCCACTTACGCGCTACATACTTGCTTGTTTGCACTTAGGCATTCTTTTAACAAAAATTTTTTTATGAAAGTATTGCATACTTGTGACTGAATTTGAAACCCCGTTTTAATTCAATTTATTTTTTCCTTTTTAAACATTATTGTAGTTTTAGGAAGCGAAACAAAGAAAAACATGTAAATAGGTGCTTGGAAAATTACAATACGATAGTAAAGTTAAACAGGTCACTGCCGAGAACGAAACTAGCAGTGATATTTATGTAAAGTACTCTAAATAAAGTAAATATTAACATGTTACAACTATCTAAATGGTACAAAATGTCTTATCAAAGATAAAGGAGTCACGTTATGGATTTAATTTATCTTTAACGATAAATTAGATAGATGGATTACGATTTTCAGGCAGTTAATAAGTTTTATTAATTAAAGATATTAACTGATAGATTATTTTGGACTAAATTGACAGTGCTATTTATGCATATAATTGTGTATTATATGACAATGATTATTCTATCGATATGTATGTATGTATATATGTATGTATGTATGTATGTATGTATGTATGTATGTATGTATGTATGTATGTATGTATGTATGTATGTTGTACGTGCAGTATTTTTGACCTATGTAGAAAAATATATGCGGAAAACACGTATTCCGTAGACATTATTAATTAATCACTGTTTTATTTTTTTTAATCATGATTAATTAGTTAAAAAATATTCCTTATTCAAAAAGTCTTTTATACATACGTGATATATAAGGCAGTGTTATCATCACAGATAATCTGTCAATTTTTAATGTATCTATTTAGATAATAATTTTATTAGAGCTTGTATTTATTTAAGGTAGAATTTTATGCTTAATATTACAGTTGAATTTATTTATTGAAGAAGGAAAGTAAAATTCACCATAAAATAGATTATGATAATAATATTTAACAAACGTACTTTCTTTAAACTATTGTTACCTTATAAATAAAAATGAATTGTTGTTGGAAATTTTAAAAATTAAATGTGTCGCTAAGCGCAAAAGTCGAGAACGAGTAGACAAATTTGGCTAATTTTTTTTTCAAGTATTTGTTACAGTCCAAGGAAGGACGTTCGTATGAAGAGAAAAATTGGAATTTTTTTACGGTAAAGCATAAAAAAATTTAAATTTGTGCGGCTGCCACAGTTCAGTTGCTTTTACAGAACATCTGTCGGATCAGCTATAAGTATGGAATAAAAACATAGAAAACAAAAGTCAATTTCATTCTATTAAATTAATAATACTCTAGCTCTAAATCTTTATTAAACCTGGTTTTAAGTATGTCAGGTCTGCTTATTTTCTTTTCAAAATATCAAAACTTTTCGCCTGTTCATATAAGTACACCTATTATTTATAAGGAATACAGCTTGGTAAGCTATTGTGTAATACAAGGCGCTTTGCAAATAATTGCTTTAGTAGAAACTTACGTAATATTCTCTTAAATTAAGCACATCTTGTAGACACATCACATGTTTCAGATTATAGTTACTGTAACACTTTATTAAACAAAACGACAGAAAGATAAAAGTATAATAAATTGACGTAGTCAACGCAACACGAATGTTAGGGCCGACTGACGGATTGACCTCAAACGCTTGGCCTTTGTCACCACTAATCGACATCATTGGTTAATAGGTGCCGTTTATTTGGGTTTAATTCACTTAGAGTTCGAATACACGATGTTAGCTGGATTGTATGCAAAGTACAACCCATTTTGTCGTCGCATGTCTTAGATTATAAACTTAAGCACTCGCGGCTCGCTTCCTTGTATTGATGAAAAACTAACTAAAAAAAGTAGCAAATCACTTTCAGCTTATTTTTGTCTTTGTACCTCGGTAACCCTTTTCCACAATATAAATTAGCTACTTGAACGAATACAAATTTTGAGTGGTTGGTGCGGTTTAAATATCACGCTATAATATGAGCTCTATTGAGAAACTATTTTTGAAGTCGCACATTTCAATTTTAGGGATTATTCAAGTCCAGTCATAATAATCCAAGCTCAGAACTTAATACCTCAATCAATTTTCTTTACCTTATAAGATATTTTAGGAAGAATTGGTGAATTGTAAAATGTCTTCTCTTTATCTTTCAATGCAAAAAAATAGAACATTAAACAAATGGAGATGATATACATATATCAAGTAACTAAATCTTTTCAATGGAGCTTACTTAATCACGTGTGAAATATTCTTACGTTATTGATTATGAGTCTCATCTAGTACTAGCTTGTTGGGATGGATTGCATAGTACTGTTTTACCATATGCTCGATTTCTGGATTGGGCCATTACATTAAATAAGTTTCTCCGTACAAAATATTTCAATAACACCTCAGAGAAAGCCTAAAGCTGTCGTTCCTGTCTATCACAGGACATTCTTCTAGACTAATCGTATCAAACATAGATGCCTAGTCTATGGAGTATCTGCCACTGTAACCGAAATTCGCTTAGGAGGACATAACTAATACTTGAGCTGCATACTCATTTTAACTTACAATAAAATAGTTTTGTTTTTCATTTTATTAAGGAAGGCATTTTGATGATCGTCGTTGCCCAGTGAGGCATATTTTGTATTGATCATATATTTCGCTTATAGCGTCGTTAGAAGTATTATAGTCAGAAGAGCTAAATACTACTTATTAACAGAAGATACGAAGTTAGATCAGGCTTCACCCCATTTACTTACCCGGATGAAAAGTATTTTGTGCTCAACATCATATAGGTACATATGTATATGTATTAGAGGGATTGTCTAAGAAAATATTATCAAAGCTACCTTTAATTAAAAAAATAAGACTTTACTCATAGATAAAAATATTCATATACCTACATACATAATATGTAAATTACAGCTAATGTTTTATAAGTACTTTTTTATCTACTAATAAATTAAACCATTAATTTTCAACTGCAACAAAATCACATGGGGTTATTAAATAAATATAGTATATCTAGTACTAGTAACGAGAGTAAGAGTTTATTTTCTATAACTTATATAATTATTTATATTTATAATGTTACGCTTCTATTTCGGTTTCAGTTTTAAGTCTTCTAGTTGTGAAATACTTTTCTAAGCCCCAAGACAACGCTGTGAGCCACGTGAATATGTTCAGGCTATGTAACGTAACTGCTGATGATGAATTGTCTTTGATCCAACCTAAAATAGCAAATTACAGTCAAGTTATATATATACGTCTATTATATTTATATGCATATTAGCTGGCACGGCATACGTACATTGTTCTGCCTTTTTAGAATCTAAAATTTACTAAATAAACTTGATTTTTTTGTTGGAAATAGTTCAATAAATGTGTATTGTGACTATGATATTACATATAATGAACCATTGTGATTCATAAATATAAAAAAAATGTTAACAATTGTAGCACCAATTAGATTCTAGCATTTTGGCTATTCACAAAAAAGAAAAACTTAAGTTTATTTGATAAAAATAAAAAATGCTCACCAACTACTGGTCCTAATGAAAGATACACAATTCCAGCTGTTACAAGTTGTATGCCAGTAGCACCAGGTAATTTTTCTAATGGTACATAAGTAGGTATTACTAGGGCCATAAACACTGTTCGGAGACCTTTACCTAATCCTATGATTACTGCCACTACCAAAGCAATAGTGTAGTCTTGCCAATATGCTAGTACTGAAATTACAGAAAATGCCGATTAATATTACGAATTTCAATTATAGTTTCACAATTATTTGATCTTATTCTATTATGATACATTTAGTTTACTAAAAAAACACCTAATATTATAAAATGCAAAACAATTCATAAAATCTTAATAAAATTAATATTGAAATAATATGCAAGTGAAAATTAAAATAATAATTACCTACTCTACCCATGGCCATGGTAATAACACCAAATAAAAAGAAAGAGTTATTGTCCCACCCAATTTTCCCAGCTATTAGAGGAACACAAAATCTGATGGAAATATCAACTCCACCTAGAAGAGACATGAAGAAAGCCACTTGTGGTTTACTCATACCAAGATCACCGAGAATAAATGGCGTCATTATAGAGAAGTTCAATTCAGTAAAATTCGCTAGTGTTATTCCTAACATAAGATTGATAAATGTAAAATCTTTCAAAAGATCTAAATCAAAGAACAAGGAAACTTTTTGACAGAAAGTCAATTCTTTTTCATTTTCGTCAACCTCTTGTATATATGGCTCTTTCTTTTCTTCAAAAACATTATCGTCTGAGGGACTATGAACTAATACTTTAAAATTGTTTGTCTTATTATCATCTTTATGGTCCTGTAAATATTGCTCTAGTTTTAAAGAGGCTTGTTTGAGAACTTCACTTTCATAATTAAAGTTATTCGATTTTCTTCTATGTCTTGTACGAACTGATTGATTGCTATGATTGTCTTTTAAATATTTACGTTCGTCTATGTCTTCTTGATTCTTTAGCGACATATTACTATGATTATCTTTATTATATTTTTCACTATATTGACCGTCCACTTTAAGCGATTTTAAACTTTTAGTTCCCGCCAACTGTTTTTCTGCTGTATCGGAAATGTATTTTGCTTCTTCTGGATCAATTTTTTCAACTACAGCTTTTTCTTCATCTCTTAAGTCCTGGGGAGCTTTTAGGGTTGGACAGTCCTCTATCTCAGATTCAGGAATCTGAGTATTCAGAGTTACTGAAGTTTTGCGTTTTGGCTTACTTGATTGTTTTGATTCACGTTCTTGGCTTAGTGCACCTAAGTTTGCAGAAGAATTTTTTTTCGATTCATTTAAATACAATGTAGATGATTTTCGTGATCGATTTTCCGCTAAATTCGTCATAGACGGCTTTTTTGAATTAAGACGTGAGGTTTTAGCAGAACCATCTCTAGATGATAACTTACTTTTAGACTGTCTTGATTGACTAAAATAACCATCATTTGATCGCACCATCATAGGTATCCCCGGGTCAGTTATTTCGTAACCAGGCGTTACTGGGTCATCTTCATTGTAAAGATATTGACTTGAAAATACACTTATATTTTTTAACTTAGAAACGTGACTAAAATATCCACTCTCATTATTCTTCTTTTCATTATCAACATTATTCTTTATATCTGAAGTTAAAAGCTTTTCTTCGTCTTGACTTTTTGCTTTTAGAGATTTTGAATGCCACTCTACAGGTTGTAGCAATAATGCACATGCAAGTGAATGCATAGCAAATCCGCTTATTATAAGTATTGCTCCAGTTTCTCCGTAGTAAGCAAAAAGTGCTGTTATTACCTGAGGCCAAATCATTGGCCCAAGTCCTGTGGTAGTCCATGACAACCCAGTAGCCAATCTTCTTCGATCTTTCCAATATGTGTTTAATGCTAAAGCATTTGCAGAACTATTTATACCGTACCCAGCGCCTATAAAGTAAATATAAGTTATAATATAATAATTTAATCTTTTATAATGATTTATTAATTATATATTTTATAGTACATAATATTTAATAAAGTATAAAAGCGTATAAATGAATTATGACTCATTTACCTACAACTCACCATAAAGTATTGAATAAAATATTAAAAAAGTTATAAAATTGTAAGCGAATGTCGATAAAACCAAGGATATAATTATTACAATTGTTCCTGCGATAGCTACTTGACGGTAGCTGAAGATTTTAAAAATTGGTCCATTAGCCAAACCTGTAAAGTAAAAATATATGTAAATTTAATATTGGTACTTAGTTTGCTAATGTTATAAAAAAAAACCATTTTTATAAAACGGAGTTAAAAGGAGTTAAAAAACTGTACTGATTATTCTATTGTGCGTCTTATTAAACTATAAATACATATAAAGGAGATATATTAAGATTTAATATTAGTTTTTTTCTGAATATGAAATGTAAAAAAAACATCTAATCAGGCCAGCATATAGCAAATAACAAAAAATTTAAATAGTTTAAAATTCGGGATTCGAACCCGGAAGGAAACCTGTGATAGTCAATCTTGCGCCTTGGCCGCTTGATTACGATGTTCGAGAGTTCGAAATCAACGACCATATTTTGCGTGGAATAATGCGAAAGAAACATGTTTCGTGCGAAAGAAACGTTTTCCCAGACATAAGACTAATCTATATCGATTTTTCGCCCCCAAAAACCTGCACATACCAAATTTCAGCGAAATCGTTAGAGGCGTTTCCGAGATCGCCGGTATAAATAAATGAATAAATAATATACAAGAATTGCTCGTTTAAATATAATATTAGATTCCCAAACTAAATTCAACCTTAAGAGCGAAATAATAATAATCTATATCGTATCGATATAGATTATTATTATTTCGCTCTTAAGGTTGAATTTTGTATGGGACAACCCACAATTAACAAAATGATACCATATAACGAAATAACTTCAAGGACATTTTTAGATCAGTTTTTTTTACTTTATTAAATAAAAATTAATTCAAAATTTTAGATTGTTATTAATTAAAATGTACTGGTTGCCTACGAATTTATAACGATATAGTAATAAATAAAAGAACTACGCGGGCGGAGCCGCGGGAAATATTGTATCTATACATAATATATATGCATGAACGAATTAGAGACTTCGTTCATGTATATATGTATAGTAAAACTGTAGAGGTCCGCGAATGTCTGTACATAGAAAAAAATGCTAAAAACAAAGTCAGGTGGATGTAAGAAGAGAAATAAAACAAACGATGATTTTTTTTCCATTCTTGTGTTTCTGTCTGTTTGTTTGTTTGTTTGTTTGTTTGTACGAGCTAATCTCCGAAACTGTTGGACCGATTTAAATGAAATTTTGCATGGTGGTACCTTATATCCCCGGTCAACATTTTAAATACTTTTCATCCTGGAAAATTAAAGAGTTCCCGTGGGATAGTTAAAAACTATAGTAACTTATGCAGCTTAGTACACAACAACTTATGCACCGAATTTAATAGGCATGCTGATACCTTATATTGCCGGCAAACAACAGGTTACTTTTTATCATGGAAAAATGAACGGTTCCCATGGGATAGATCTGTTTGTGCTTTCCTAGAGGCGAACCCGAGCGAAGCCAGGGTGGGCCGCTACTTGTATGATAAACTGTTTCAATAAAACAAAAATAAGAAAGAATAGCAAGATAAGTTAAGATAAGAGAAGATAATATGAATAAGAATTAAATTTTAACGATCCACCTAAAAAGTACGCAGTGTTATAATTATAAACCTATATAAATACATAGTATAAATAATAATATACTATTGTAAAAACGCAAAATGATTAAGACTAGATATTGTTACTAGTTATATTATATTTTATGACTAATATTTTCAAGAAATCGCCTCAACAGTATGAGGACAATATGGTTGAGATATGATTAATGTTCCATGGAAAATGCCAATTACATATATACATATAATAAAACTGTAGAGGTCGAATGTCTGTATATAGAAAAAAAAATGCTAAAAACCGAGTCGGGGGATGTAAGAAGAGAAATAGAACAAATCCAGTTTTTTTTCAATTTTTTTTCTCTGTTTGTTTGTCTGTTTGTACGGGCTAATCTCCGAAACTGTTGAACCGATTTAAATGAAATTTTGCGTGTTCCTTTCAAATTCCTTATATCCCCGGTCAACATTTTAGATGCTTTACATCCCGGAAAATTAAAGAATTTCCGTGGGATAGATCTGTTTGTGCTAGTGATATATAAAATGTGTGTGTGTGTGTATATATATATGTGTGTATATGTGTATATTGGTACCGATACTTATTTAAGAATCATGTCATAAAGATAACTAATTTAGGTCACAATCGTAATTTAAAGTTAAACATAAAAATGTGTAACGATAATTGAGTCGTATTTTAGTATATGTGTAAGTATATTATATCCATCACAGTTACAAACTTTAATTATAATCGTTTTATAATGTAATTTTTGCATTTGCATTGCAAGGTTTTGGTTTTAGACTCGCATCATACCCATAAAATACTAGCGACTCAGCCTCGATTCGCTCGGCTTCGTCCCTAGTTTTAACGTTTAGTAAGTATACATTTTTCAGAGATGAGATCTTTTCTCGCTATATCATCATATCAAAATCTGTCCACTGGTTTTCTTGTGATGCGTTCCCAGATAGACAGACCGACAGACAGAGAAAAATTCTAAAAACTATAAATTCGGTCTCTGTATCGATACTACTGACAAGTTCAACAAGATTTTCCAAAAATATTTATTGTACAGATTCGACTTAGAATTTTATTATATATACTCATGAACGAATTAGTCACTTCGTTTATGCATACACTATACAGTACAGGTTGCATGATATTTAGTACATTTTTGAGATCCACCAATTAAAAAAAATATTAGCGAGAGTGAAATATATAGAGAAAAAAACCAAAGGTTCCTGTTAATAAATAAAACGTTTTAAAATCATATTTTTATGATTTAGTCTTCTCCTTTTAAATCTATACTATCCGGTATCCGTCAAAAAACTAAGATGATTTAAAGAAATTGCAAAAAATATTTACACACGTGCGTGCAAACATACATCATAATTTATATTTCATCTTTGGTCTAGCGTAAACGCTGCTCGATATAAATATTTTTATTTACAATTCATATACCTATATCTAATGGAAACAAAATAAAGATCAATCGTTGAGAACTTAGCAATATTTATGTTCTGACTTCCGCCTGTCGTAAATAAATATAAATAAAAATATGTTGGGACATTAACACACAGCACCATCTAATTCCATAGTAAGCTACGAGGCCTGTGTTATGGATATCAGATAGTACACTACACATTATAACTTTAAATACCTACATAAATACACAATAACTTTAAATACATACATAATATAAATATGTAAACCCATGACTGGAGAGTGGAGTACAAACATTTGTGCTCGTCATACAAATGAATGCCCCCAGCGGGAGTCGAACCCGCGACCGCTGGCACAGCAAGTAGGATCACTACAAACTGAGCCAAAACTGTCGTCAAATCTAACTCTATTTTACGTCAGAGTTCGTGTCTGGCTAACTTTTTTATGTTACCACTACCTGTGTTCTTACTTGCCAGAGCAAGTTAGTGTCGGACGGTATGTATGTATAGCCATTTAACTATAATAGTAGGGGAGCCCAAGAGGGGATTTTCTGTAGTTACTCGAGCGCGGCAGATTAACATAAAAGAGGTTACCTTGCACTCTATTGAGTACTTTCACCACAATATAAGTCTTCTATATAAAGGGGCGCGTCTAGGGAAGCCGATTAAAATATTTAAAAAATGTTTTGATAAGGTAAAAATACTTGAAACCGTCAGATTAAGGTGTAGTAGGCTAGTCACATCCTGAAAAGTGTCCAATTTAATAATCTGCCGATTTGTACAAGCCTAAGAGGCAAAAATCATCATAAACTTTATAGTCGATTACTAGCCTACCACACCTTAATCTGACGGTTTCAAGTATTTCTACCTTATCAAAACATTTTTTAAATATTTTAATCGGCTTCCCTAGACGCGCCCCTTTATATAGAAGACTTATATTATGGTGAAAGTACTCAATAGAGTGCAAGGTAACCTCTTTTATGTTAATCTGCCGCGCTCGAGTAACTACAGAAAATCCCCTCTTGGGCTCCCCTACTATAATAATAATTCTGTCATTAAAACATTGAAAGGCCGGTATGGTATCGAAGAGTTACCATGCGAGGCGCGTCACGCACCGACGCAAGACGTCAGCGCAGCATTCATGTTGATGATGGTAGTGGTCTCTGAGCTGCTGATTCCAAGACGTGCAATCCTGTCCCGAAATAGTAGTCCAAACTGTTGGAACATTGGTAGAATTGATAGCTGGAATAAAAATGAAAACTCTGAATATTCTATGTTATATAATAGTATTGGTGAAATAACTCAAAATTTCCCGAATATTCGAGAGAGTTCTTCGTGTCAAGTTAAAATTAAACTGGGTTATATTTACATTAGATTATTCCCATTATATTAAAATATTCTAGCTACTAGGTAATTTAGCCGTTTACGAGCAATTTCAGGTAAAACCGACAAAGAAATTGGCTTAACTCATAAGAGTAATGACTACTGAGCATAAAAATTTAAACCAAAAACAACTCCAAACATATGATCTTAAAAAAATACCTATAGGAGGTATTTTTGGAGACAAATTCTTATTCACAAAAAGCTCCAAAACGGAAATCAGCATTAATCTAAAATTTTAATTACTACCAAGAATGCAGAACTATCTAACTTATGCTAGTTAGATATTTTCGGGTCATAAAATGTCTATGACAGTATAAGTTTCTTTGTCATGTTCCATCGCTAAGAATAACTTGGCGACTGGCTTCAAGGCGGCGGCGGTTCCCAGTATATAACTATACTCTTTGGCGGTACCCGTCCCTCTAAAAGGTCCCTTAATTCATTCCAAAAAAACTCATCGTCATCATGAAATGTGAAACTTGTAAATATATTTTATTATTATTAAAATATCAACAGATTGTTCAAAAATACGATAAAAACTGCATAAAAACATGTACCTACATTGTACATATTGATTGATATATATTATGTATATCAATTCAATTCTTTAGTTTCGTGGCTTCTAGGAGTGCCTTTAGGCACAATTTACTTCGCCAATGTCGCGTTACGTTCAACAATGATATGATTGTAATTTGTACAATTATTATTTTTTCAGTATTGACATTTGACAGCTTTTTGTTTACGAACTTTATAATATAATCATCAAATTTTATGATTGACCTTTGCTTTAATTATCTTGTGTTTTAACTAGACAAAATATAAGCGAAGTCTGAAATTTCATTTGTTATTTTAACCTATGTTACATCACAGATCATAATGTACAGATAGTGCATCCAATACAAATATTTGGATCTCGCTAATACGGGCTATTCAGCAGGTTTTTTTTTAATTCCTAAAATGGATAATAGATGGCGCAAGTGAGAAGAAAAAAAGGCGACATCTAGGAGCTCTAGTTGTAAATGTAAAGCCGCAAATGTTAGATGGCGATAAAAGCTAAATCTATCTTCGAGCTGCCGCTGCGCAGTGTTGTAGGTACCTCTATGTAAGGCCTCTCAAGGCCACTATGGCAATCACAAATTATTCCTATGGCTTCTTAAAATATTGTCTTTGAGGGCTACAAAACAAAATATGTATAGCTACGCGCTTTATCTTTGTACAAGGGCTAGCCGGTATAGATATTGTTTCCAAAAAATATATTTTTGTTGCCTTTGTAGGTAGGTACGATATTTTACGATGTAGAACAATATTATTACTTATGGAACTCTTTTTTTAATTTATGTTTTAAATATACGTTTAATTTTTTTACCGATTTTTTTTGAAGCTCGTAAATAGTTATCAAATTTAAATTAAAATATACAATACCTAGGTATTTAATATATATATTTATACTTACCTAAAATTAACAGTGGGTACCTACATAATTACATAGTAGAACGACTATTATTTTATTATTTATATTAAATTTATCCTCGTAACTGATTTTTTTCAATTAGATTTTCTACTTACGTTAGAAAATCCAGCAGCAAATATGATCATCCATCCCCAACCCCCATCAGGAGGGATGAATTCACCATCTTTCTTCACTTTCAACTTTAATTGTTTCGTTTTTTCCATAGTCTGCAATTATAAGGACTAAGTTCACATAAATTTTATCGGAAAAATGACAGTCGTTAAAGCGGAATGATCCGTCACTTGTATACTCTTGGACGTTACAATCTGTAATGATAATGTCTGGGTGCACGCACGCATATAATAAATGGGATAAATTTTTTAGATAAATGTTGTGTAACGACTGCTAATTAGGATAATGCGGATCACACTCAGCTTTCTTGACAGAAAAACGTTATCTTTGTATCTACTGTGCTATAAACAATTATCACTTCATATATCTATCAACAGAATTTATTACGATAATAAACACCTATTTTATGTTATCACTACATAGTATCAACGAAGTCGCCTCTCGCTGTCTGTCTGTCCCTATGTATGATTAGATCTTTAAAACTACGCAACGGATTTTGATGCGGTTTTTTTAATAGATAGAGTGATTCAAGAGAAAGGTTTACATGTATATTACATGCATATTATAGTACAGAAAAGCCGACAAATTCAAAGATTTGTATTTCATACTAACCGTTACAACGTACCTTGCGACGAACCCGAGCGTAGCGAGGGTGAGTCGCTAGTTAAGTATTCATAAAGTACTTATTTCACATTTACGTTGTTTATATCGTCCTAATTTACTGCATATTATAATCCTAATGGCAGTATTACAGATTATTGCTCGCTAGATAAACTGATAATACAATGCCATTAAGAGTAAAATTATTAGTTACTTGTCTATAATATTTATCGATATCCTTAAATCTTTCCCTTTTATATTCTTATTTTTCATTTAGAAATTTTAACTCTCATGTTTATTTTGATGTTTAGACAATTACCACTACTATATTTTATACTCTACTTAAATTTAATAATAATTACTAAATTTCATCCAAATCTACCCCTACGTTTCAACGTAAAGGGTTAAAAAGTATAAACAACCACACACAAACTATATAATATGTAGCAATCCGATATACAGGCCATATTTTTCTACACGAGATTTTTTTCTTAAATAAATCCTCCCCCCCCCCCATCCTAAAGCAATTTGTATAATTTTGTAAAAATATATATAAGTACAAATAATATTACATTAAATTTATAAACGATAAAAAAATAACAATTGTTAGACATACCAGAGCATGAAGTGTACAGTACTCAGGTCAAAACCGTTGACTGTTTATTATACCCCTTTATATTATTATCAGCTTATCGTATCAAAAAAGTTAAAGAGGGAGTCCATTTGTCAGCCATCGGGGACGTGATGTCTCAACAACTCTATATAGATAAAGTGTTTGAATCACTGTGCTAGATAGTGCCACGCGCTCGGTCGGCTCGTTCCCGTTGTTTTTTATTTATTTACTAACTAGCGACTCATCCTCGCTCCGCCCGGTTTCGTCCCTACATTACGTTTTAACGTTTAGTATAGATTTTTCAGAGATGAGATATTTTCCCGTAGTAAAAAGTATCCTATATGTTGATCCGGATAACTAGCTATCATCATACCATATTTCATCAAAAACCGTTTTTCGTGATGCGGTCACAGACAGATAGACAAAAATTCTTAAAACTATAGATTCGGCCTCTGTATCGATAATAATGTAGATATTTCAATAAGATTTCCCAAAAAATATTTAATGTACAGATTCGGCTTAGTTACAATTTTATTATATGTGTAGACTAGTGACAATTTTTTCCGGCCTACTTCACAAATATACTGGTATTTTTGTTTACAAATATTAGAATATTCGGCCGAATATCCGGTCAAAAACGTACCGAACCGAACATTCGGCCGAATTATTCATTTTTACGTAGTAAACGTGCTTATCCATGTCGGTATTTCTGATTACAATTAACAGCTATGCTGTAAATGTACAATAACTAACTTTTCTTTTTTGGAAAACAAATGTTGATTTAAGTATATTAAAAACTGTATTTTGTTATTTTTTAAATATTTATGTTATTTTCATTTGTCAATAAATGATGGTTACGCAAGGTAGAGCGTGTTTCATAGTATTCACATACTATGTATTTCTTAGCGTAAAGCGTATTTTATTTTTTTAAATAATTATTAATCATATCATAATACTATTAAAATATTCGGTAATTATTCGGCATTTTAACAGAATATTTGACCGAATATTCGGCGCATCTCTAATACCTACATATAAAACAGTAGAGAAAATATCGTCCGTAGGAAAAACCTTAATAAGTTTAGGTAGTGGGTAATGCTTGTCATCACAAAGTTTATAACTCACAAAAGCGCGATAAAATGTAACATGATATTTATAGTTCCGCTTAGTACCTACCTACGAGTAGCACTTGGTATTTTTCCGTTACATGTTATTTTATTGTTTTATTAATTTTAAAGATAATAGTAACAATAGTAACCTGCCGTACCTTTGCTTCGTTTATTGTTAGATAACCCGTTTAAATTATAGTGACTTTTGTGTTTGTTGGTCAATCTGTTCGTTCATTTTCCCATTACTACTGAATTGATTGTAATCTTTGCAAGAAAATATTAATAATAATAAAAAAATCGACATGATTTAATGAAAATAATAATGTGCGTGTAATTAATTAATAATTTATGTATATAAAATTTAATTATACCTGCGGAAATTGAGGTATTTCCTTTATAAAAGTTCTATTGCTATGTGACTTTCCTTTTATTCAAAATTTTATAATTTGTTTTAAAAATTGAAAAATATTTTATCGCACTACTTTGACTGAAGCTGGACATAAAACAATGTTTTTCAACCGACTTCAAAAAGGAGGAGGTTCTCAATTCGACTGTATGTTTTTTTTTATGTTTGTTACCTCAGAACTCCGTCATTTATTAACCGATTTGGACAATTTTTGTGTTGTTTGAAAGTGTATATTTCCAGATTGGTCCCATTTAAATTTCATAAAAAAATACCACCCCTAAGGGTGAAAAAATAGCTAATGATGAATTTAACCTACTTTTAATTGTCATATTGACTTGAAACTTTGCAAGTGTTTCTATTTCCGTTGATAGTTCAGTGGTTCGGTATTATTGACCTAATGTGATGGTAAGGCCAGAAGGTGAATAGGTGGAACTCTTCAACGGCTAATAGTAGATACTTTGAGTTTGGGCTAGTTTTGTTTGATTTGACAAGCCTAATACGTTAGAATTCTTACTTTGCTACTACTGTCTACACTAAAAAGGGAAAAATGAAAACTTTTTAACAAAAAAATAAAAACCGACTTCAAACAAAAGCACTAAAAAGTAAAAAATAACTGATTGGTAGTTTTCATTTACTATACATACCTAATCAAATATATTCGAAGTCGGTGTGCTTTGGCTAAGTAATTAAAGCCTACCTATTAAATACATACTACCTAATCAAATATTTTCGAAATCGGTGCCAGCCCATATAAACCTGGTAGATGTAGTAAGTTCTTACTGTGTAGATCAAATTGATAGCATTTCTGATTAAAAATATTTTTTCACTTTATCATTTGTAAATGTATGTAGTAATGTGTTGCTTAATAATTTGTTTTTTAAATAATAGCAAATTTAAATTAAAATTATTATTTTTAATTAATCTTAACTTTTTTCAAATTACACATAGATCAATTGTGGCTTAAATAATAATACTATATTTTATATTTTTCTTATGGTTATAAATATAATAATGGCAACACTAAATATAGATTACTAATTAATATTTTTAAAATTGTAATAATTATAAAAATAATAGCAAAAATTAAATAAATAATTTTCCATATTCAATTATAATTAAAATTATAAAAATATTTAAAGTTAAAATATTGTAATGTAATTGGTGCAATTTTCATTTTGTTAATTGTGGGTAGGCTGTCTGTAACAACTATATCTTTAAGACATGTAACACCTCAGTCTCTCCCGTGACCATGGATGCTGTAAAGCATTCGAAACGTCGGGAAACAAAAATACAAATAAATCCGCGACAAAATCCGAAAAGATAGTTTTATTTAAAATGTCAAATATTCGCGTAAATCTAAGAAAGTATTATCGGGACGGATTGCTTATAGACTTCCCTACATATATAAAATTTTACATCAACGAGTAGGTACCTGTGGTAAAGTAACCTATTATCCAGCTTTGTTTTAATTTAACGCGAATAACTTAAGGGCTAATATTAGAAAAGATTTGAATAGATTAGATAATCTAAGTATATGTGAAGCCTAAATAAAGCTTATCATAGAATGAGTTTGTTGGTGCTTTTTAGGGTTTTATTATCAGTTATCATGATCAATTGATCCGATTGCTGCCAATAAATACATAATAGTCGTAAGCCATTCTATTACGATAAGATTATATAAAACGCTACGTATTAAGTGATAGCCCAAGAGCCTATGACGGCCAGACCTTCGTTATTTTATAAAAGCTGAAAATTTTGCTGTGCATGTCCCCTATACAGGTAAGAATGACCAGCGAATATAGTTTGGGTTGTGGTTGATGTGGGTGATCCATGATTTTTGTGACAAAAATGTAATACTAAACTTTTAAAAAATATAAAAGATTGGTCTAGCTGTTTTTGTAATATAAATATGCCCTAAAAACATCAAAATATATCATATAGCCTAAGGTATATTATTTAGCACTGTAAAAGATTTATTGAAAGCAAAAATTGCATTAGGTGTTATCATATGTTTGCCTATTTGATTTTGAAAGGCACTTTTATTCCCTACTAGTGACTCACCCTCGCTTCGCTCGGGTTCGTCCCTAGGTACGGACGTATAAGACGTTTAGTATGGAATACATAGACCCCCTTATGGGATGATTTCCGGGGTAAAAACTATCCTGTGTCCTTCCCGAGGTCTTAAAATATCTCCATACCAAATTTCGTCTAAATCGGTTCAGCGGATCTTTCGACTTTAAAGTAAAGGTTTCGAGTTTCGACTCGATCATATTAGTATTATTATCAAAACGATACTAGTATGAAAAAAATATGAAATTGTTATTATTTTATATTTAATATGTTTTTTATTTAATTTGTTATATT